GTCCATCTGCCTTCAGATAATTGGATAACTGGAAATCACCTCTACACATGTGACCTTCGTGTTCTTTGCTTCTTGTTTCTAAGTAACATGACATTTGTCCAATGTATTTCTTTCCACAACATCTCAACGAGTTGAAAATGTGGTCCAAAAAAACCAAGTTTGCAATTTTAAGAGCCATCATAAAAGATATTTGAAGAAACATCTCCAAGTTAGAAGTACAACTCAACTGAATACACCTTGCAAACAAATCCACTCCCAAAGATTGGAATAGACTTGATTGCACCAGCTGGTTTAGATCAACCAACATTGCAAAAAAGAAAAGAGCCAACTAAAACAAGAAACTCAAGAAGCTGACAGAAAACCAGAAATAAGGGGTGAAAAATTTTCAACTTCTTGATTTTCCTCCTTCAATTTTAAATATTTCAAGTGGACCATTAACTGATAACCAGACTTGAGTGTTAAACTTAGGTCTAAAGTTTGCTGTTAAACCAAGAAATGTACCTATTGAACAAACTGTTGCTACCACAGAATGTAAAATCAGCACTTTAGATTTGAATCACAATGAAGCTGAAAAAATAAGAATTAACATACACTCTAGAATTACAGCATATAAGGACAAAATATTAAAACCTAATGTTAACAGAAATAAAGCCAATGCTCTAAAAGAATTACAGTCTAACAATAAGATATACATAACAAGGTAGTTGTAGATAAATCACATTATAAAGTAGGTGTCAACACCTTATTAAATGATGGATTTTACACTATACTCAATGGCAATCCCATCAACAAAGTTATTTTGAACATTAAAAAAACTAGTTAAAGGTTGCCTTATCTTCACTGCCAAAGAAAACATTATTTCCCTTATTTCCACACATTATTATTCCCCCCATTTTTATATCCTTCCAAAAATTCACAAAGACAACATTCCTTATAGACCTGTAGTATATAGCATAGGCTCACCATTACAAAACCTTGCTAAATTCTTGGTAAATAGATTAAACCCTCTCCTTGAAATCAACCCCTATTCTCTCAAAAACTCTCTAGACTTTGTCAATAGAATAAAAAACTTGAAGCTAAACCAAGAAGATATACTTGTATCTTTTGACATTAAAATGTTTATTTACCTCGATACCTATTGAACAAGCTTTACACTGTCTGAAAAAACTAGAAGACAATCCTGCAACAGAATACTTTATCAATCTCACAGAATATTGCTTAAACAACACTTATTTTGCATACAAAGGCCAGTTTTACAACTAATGGATTAGCAATGGTATCCCCCCCTTCCCTTCTACTTAGTGACCTCTAAATGTCCATTCTAGAAGAAGAACTATTTGTAAACAAATTCATACACACACCAAGAAACCAGAAATTTGGTTTAAGCTACATAGACAATATCTTCAGTACATGTTGACATGGGAGAAAGATGTTACTTAATTTCCTTGAATTTTTCAACACATTAAGACCCAATGTCATAATTTTCACACATGAAACAGAATTCAATAGTTGTCTTCCTTTTCTAGATCTGAATGTAAAAAGAGAAAATAACAAAGTTACCACCAGTATATACAGGAAACCCCATGCCACCATACATCACAGAAAATATCCTTCTACTTCACCTATGTAAATTATGCTATACTTACTTATTGAATTGAACTACCTAAAGAACATAGCACTATCTAAAGGTTTTAACCCCAATATTATAGACAGGGCTTGTATCAAACTTCAAAACAGTGAAAATATTATGTTAATTCTAACTTTTCATCTATCAACAACACAAAACACAACAAATTTGTTTCATTCCCTTTTGTGCCAGAAATTGCTCATGAAATTACTAGACTTTTTAATAATTTGAGCATTAACTTGAAAAAGTGGATTCAAACACTTGCATAAAATTAACATCTTCCTTCCTATCCTGAAATAATCCCTATTAAAAGAAAACAAAAAACAGGGCATATACAGTATCCCATGTGAATGTGGAAATAAATACATAGAATAAACATCATGTTTCTTAGAAACAAGATGCAGAGAACACCAAGGGCACATGTGTAGAGGTGACCTGCCTTAAAATATCATCAATGTGAAACAGGTCACAAAATACTCTGGGACGAAATTCTTCTCCTACAACAACCCAAAACTAAAAATGAGACTGTTTAGAAACTATAGAAATCATCAAAGCAAATGACCTCTCACTATACAGTGACAAAGGCCTCAGCAACATCATCCGTATTTGGCAAGGTCTCTTCACCGTTCATACACTTGACCTCCCTATATCCTGTCACCTGCATACACCATTTTCATTACATTTAATCCCTATTGTCTTTGTAACAATATATAAACCTTGGATTGCTTAACACTGAGCATACCCGAAGAAGACAGACCAATGTTGTGCCAAAACATATAATATGTTCCACCATCAATAAAACTTTTCCCTAGTCTTATAAATCGTTGTTTGCCTACCTGTTAATACACAAACCTCTGGTGTAGTATCAATAGTAAGTTTTGTATTAACTTAGGTAAAACTACTTGAAAAAGCCTGAATTCAAATGTTTATGTAATCTCCTTGTTGGATATACAAGACTGTTTAGTGTAGGCATTATTATTTAACTTATTTTGTGAGTTAATATTTCATGATTGTTTAGTTTTTCATAACAATAGAGTTAAAAGCAATTATTTTAAAGGTGATAGTTATCACAAGTTTGGTTGCTTAACTCAGTAAGAGTTGTATGTTGTGTTTGTAATTCTTTGATGCCGAGGCTATCATATGTTTTGTTTGCAATTAATTGATGTCAAGGCTATATAAATCTCTAGAAGCCTCAATGATAAATATAGAAATAGCAGCGACCAAACGAGTGGGAGTGGAGTAAAAGTAAAGTCAAGTGAAATGGAAGTTTAACCAGAGAAAAGTTAGAAAATGTGAAGTTAGTTGTCGTGTGAGTGAATAGCCTTAATGGTTGATATATCAAAGTGAGTTTAACAGTTTGATAGAGATAATGAGAATAATTTACCTTATCAAAGGTTGTTCTAAGCTAATTGAACCCACCTGTGTGGACTTTGACAAAAAGAAGACAATTACTTGAAGTTCAGGATACAACTATGGTAACCCATGAGGTAGCATAAGTGAACTCTTCACTGTTACTATTGTGTTAAAAGTAGAGAAAAATAGTTCAGCTTGTCAACTGGATCATCGAAGTAGACTTTTGACAAGAAGAAGAAAACTATAGTGTTTAAGATACAACTGTGATCCCCATAGTGTAAATAAGTTTTGTACATATGTTTATCTTGTTTTTAATATACTATTTTATAACAAGTGAAGTACGTGTTGTCCGTTTATTGTTCAAATTTATTGCCAACAATTCACAGACACCTACTGTAGAAGAATCCTTAACACACACACATATACATGTACTTAAAAGGTCTGACAGTTCTATTATGAATATTGAGAAATTATTTGACATCAGTGGTGCTGCTGTTTTAACCCCTAAAGGAAGCTTGGCAAATCCAATAATGAAAAGAAGAAAACAGACATAAAAACATAATTAATATAAGTTGTCATACTACAAGTTGAGAGAACTAATTCCTTTGATAAGTAGAATTACTCTTAAGCAAATTCTTAGTTTGTGTTTTTTTTACCATTTACATTTGTTAATAAAACAATTTTCAATGTGGTTCAAAACATTCCATTTTATATGCACTTTTCAGTAACTATGATGTTACCGTAAGCTTCTAACAAGACTTCATAATCATAATTTCAACTTCATTGCTATGCATTAAATACATGAGTGATTTATTAACATGTACTTATGTTTCTCATTGTACATTAAAAGTACTGTTGGTTAACTATATGAACATGTTTAAAATCACAAAGGATATTGAGATTCTTAAATCAGTTATTAAAAAAAATCAACATAACTTACACAGTTGAAAAAATATTAAAGTACAAATATTTTTTAGCAGGAAAAATCTTGTTTAGACATGTCAAATCTACTATTACACCCTTTCCCCAATCCTGTATTTTATGTTTTTTATGAAGGTAAAATACATCAAGTCTTAAAAATTTCTGTTAGATCTCTTTTCTCACATCAAATACTAAAAAATTATAATTAAATGTCCATATTTACAATTTTGTTTTGATGTATATATTATCAACATTTGTTTTGGATAAAGTAATAAAAAAATCCAAACTGCTACAACTAATTAAAATTTTGTTGTCCTAAGTGTAATTTATATTTAAGCTTCCCACTTGCACAGATAAAACTTGTTAAAATGCCAAACAAAGCTGAAAATCTTTTTACATATTTGCTGTTTATTTCTAGCTCAAAAGAAGTTTGTGGTACCTGATTGCATTTTTTGTGTAACTTCCATGCTTCTTAAGTTAATAAAGTCACGAGTAAATGGTCTAAAACTTGGTAGTATTTCCTTCATCACTGTCAATTTGCTGTAGAGCTCCCATACTTTTATAAATTTCAGAAGTTTTATTTATTAACATCAGAAGCCTTTCTTGTTCACATGCTTTCAAGTTATCTAATTATATCATGGTCTTAGATGGACTTCATCCTAGCATGACATCAGAGATAAGCAGTGTTTTTTGATACAGCTGGTGCATGCTGTCATTAAGACTGATACTGGTGTACTACCAAGAACCATGTTTGACACCAGGTTCTCAAGGTCAGCACTACAGGTGTATTGTGTAACAGCATACCATACAGCTATGTCAAAAAGTGATTTGTATTTCATTATAAATTGCACATTTACCTGAACATTCAGTAATTGTCATGCTATATGTTTCAGGTGTCTGTGTTTCAAATATAGCTTCATTCATGGGTCATTAATTTTTATTGATACAAATGTAGAAGCTTTACAGTGCCACCAAGCTGAAACGTAAAGTATTGAAGTTAACTCAACTTAGTTTCTCTGCAACATTATTAAGTATTTCCTATTACAAATATGGAAATGAAATCAAATATATATATATATATTTCATATTGATAATTGTCATATAAAATAATTTTAAATTACCATGAACCATTCTGCATTGCTGACTTGTCATGTATTTTTTCTTGCTGGCCGTGGTGTGATAACTAGAGTGAAAAAACAAAATTAATCCAAAATGATTAAGCAACTAAAAAAATGTTAACATAATATTACCACAAAATTAGAAGTTTTGGAATGTTTGAAATTATGGTTAAATGACACAGTGTGAATTGATATTATAACAAGCACTTACTCTTAGATAAATCAAAGTATCATTATATGAGAAATTTAGCATTTCTAAGGATTCACATAATCCTACAATTCTTCGAAAGTTCATTAGGCTTGATTTTTGGAAGAGTACATTCACATATATGTGCAGTTCTTTGAATTAATTGTCAGCTCAGTCCTGTTCATTTAATGAAATGAAGTGGAATTTTCAGATTAAATTTTTAAAAGATCAACACATACATAAATACATAATTCATATAATACATTTTGTGAAAAAAAAATTCTATAGATCAGTGTATCGACAGTTGAAATGAGTATCATGATTTCTTATTAAGTACACTGCTGTTATGTCCTGTCCACTTGAAAATCCAATGAAAAACGAATTAATTCAAAACATGATTTAATAATTACTATCACATTGAAAAACATAGACAAATTCAAACTGAATACAGAGTTCTTTTAACACTTGCCACTCCAGCATCTTTTAGTACTGAGCCTAGGATGGTCAACAGGGGTGGGGGTCATTCCAGAAACTGGTGATTTAGGGTTATTTTGATAGATCTCGATGAATGAACCTCGGCACAACTTCTAAAACAAATAAAAACAACTAAATATTGATGAAGTCTATATGGATTATACTATGGTGGTACCATACTAGGCATTATACAATACTCCTTATATTTACTCTTCATTGCAGAATTGACATTTCTAATTGTAGAATTGCAAGGGAAATCATCTTGTAATACATTGTGCATCAACTTCAACACTGCACATTTTTGGCCTTTACTGTGCCATGTGACGGATTTATTATTATATATTTATTTCAATATCAGTGTTTGTTT